TAAGTGTGGATGACTAAAAAACATTTTTTTTCTGATTATAATCAGTCACTCTGAGTTTTTCATGCAGGCTGAACATGAAAATAGTCTCCTACACCTATCTCCCGCATTAGCTTCTGATAGAAAGTAGAAGGTGAAACTCTAGGATTTGAAAATCCTCACATATCTATGTCACACAGTGAATTATTATTCATGGACAGGGAAGGCTGCTGTTGTTTAAACGTCCAACAAACAGCAGTGGACGTCTCGGCTAGTTTAAGCTAACCATTAGCGTTAGCAACTTAACCACACGGCATGGCTCCTCCAGGCTTGTGTTACTTGTGGAGATAAAACATCAACATCGCAAACCAGTGGTAAAGTCGCATTGCTGTTATCCAATCCGGGGCAAGATATTTCAATTTCAGGAAATAAGACAATAAAATGTGCCGTCTGAAGCTCAGCAGTGCTGTGGGCAACTTTTACGTCTGAAAAACGGTGCACCCGTATATTTCTTTCCCCTGAGAATGACTTACGAAGCTTTCATTCCTACTAGAGACCACTCCTAATGTAAACGAGTAAACCACTCTTTTAAAATATTATTTTTTTTAGGAAATTTTACCTACAACCCAACTTTTTGTCTCACGGGTTTACTTCTTCAATGACCCCTTTAACAATACATCCTAATACCTATAATCCTAAACATTGTTCCTCTGAATACCTACAGTAAGCCAGCCAAAATCCCCACATGCACCCAGGAACAACGTTCAGGTTTCAGTCACATGATGTGGACTCTATAGTAGATTAAACTGTGAAAACCTTTAAATAGTCACTTGTGCATTATGCTTTTCCTTTTATAACCACTGAAAAGCACACAATACATAAGCCTGCTATATTGGCAGCTTAATCTATTATTGAACAAGGCTTTTAAAGGAGTCTTCCACTAGCTTTAACCAACAGTATCGTGTTGATTGGTTTTCTGTCATCGTATTGAGGAAGAAAGGAATAGAGTACCTGTGATAAGCATTGACTGTGTCTACTGCACCAGACTCAACTAATTGTAAAAGAGCTATTATTATGTATTTAACTTTTAATACTGGTCTGTTTGTGGCGTTTATAGTGTATGTTAGTAGTGCCTTGTGCATCCATCTGGCTTGATAACGTATCTCAGACAGACGTCATGGAACCATAATTGTCAACAAAGGGGGAAAATATATATATATGCTCACATGGGAGTAAACACAAAGCCAGGCACTCTGTAATTAAGCTTTTTATGTTGCAGAGACACATCTGCCTTCTGTCAACAGCCTCGTATTCATGGTAGCGTTTCTTACTCAGCTGGCATTTCCCCCTCCTACAAGCCTCCTCCTATGACGCTGGCTTTTTATGCCCACAAAGCACAGCTGTGGTCGAGTGGCAGAAGTGATCTCACACGCCGCTCTCCTTGGCTGGGCACAGTGATAGAGAGATAGATAGACTGCGGTTTATTTCTGACCAAGGTATGTGGCAGGTTGCATCATGTGCCATACCAAGCAATGTGAGGTTGAGGACATTCAGGACTTTGGCATGTAAATAGGTTCTAATACAGAAAACGTCACAGGTTTTATTAGGAGGTATTTTAAGAAGCTTAATTTTAAAGCAATAGTCTCACACCAGCTTTGTATGGCCTGCTGGTAAACATTTGGTCATGTGATTTATGAAGAAATAAGACATAAGAATCATAGCTGTGAAGCAGACCTCGTTTTAAAAAGTACCATGAGTGGTATTTAAATGAAAGTTGAAGGCTTGGACCTGATATATGGGGTAAACATGCATCAGAATGGCTAAAAGGTGTGCATACAGGTCAGTAGTTGTGCACGTATCCACAAGAAGATGTAGGGATATATCTGTGCTCCACTGATAAACCTGTGACCGAAGAAGATGAAATGTGATATCAAACTTGTAGTTTCTTGTGTTCTTGAAGAAAATAAAATCAAAACTGATAACATGTACTGTGGATTTATAAAGTCTTAAAGTTGTAACAGTGTAATCCATATTCTCACCGAGAGTTAAGCAACTTTCCTCCGGGACAACAGAGGGCGTAACTCTTTTCAGGGGCTATCCTGCCACCATCGCAGCCACGTCTCTGGTCCACGAACGTGTGTTTCTTGTGTTTTTGTATTGTAGTTGTGTATTTCAGAGACTTTGACGTGGACAAGTTAGTCCCTCATTCTTCTCCGCCTTCCTTTTCAATTAGCTTTCACACTGAGCCGTTGCTGGATGTACGCTTTAATGGAGACCCATTGTTTTGTCCTGGTTATTGTTGTTTTTCGTAAGATGACTTGTTGATTCTCCGTAAGCCACCATGTTGCTCATTAATATGTAAATCCAGTAACAGCTGTGAATGCTGGCATCAGTCATCGTAGGAGGGGGACTAACGGTAGAATGAATGTGATGATGTGTGAAGATCAGAATGTGGTCAGAGGAATAATAATGGCAGTAAGCCAGCAGAGAAATGGGGTGAGTGAAAGACAGGCAGTATACACTTTCCATGTCTAGAACGGTGCGGTCAGTAGAGGTGACTGGCGTGTTGAGGCACCGAAGGCCTTCATATTCCTCCTGTATCACGTGTCCTCCTGACCATCTGGTTCCACTCTTCCCCTTTGAGCAGCAGCGATTGACTGGGAAGAATAAAAGGATTGTGTTGCATTAGACTCTTATTATTAGTGATCAGAAAAGAATAATTGAAATAAATTAAGTATTCTGACATGCCTAAATGACATTAGTTAAAAATATGAAGTCATATCTTTATTTAATTCAAAATTATGTGGAATGACAGGACAAGTGAAATATGGAAGTAGACAATTAGCCAAGTTTAAACTGTCAGATGTAGAGGCAACAACATTTGACAGCTAGCAGTTATTTGTTGCATGGTAAATATATCAATTTAAATAGAAGCTAGTTATGATAAAAGGGCACTGTCTTTTGTTTTGTTATAAAATATAAATTATAGGTATTTTTCCTGCTGTGCACCCTGTGTGTTTTATGTCTCTTTAACTGGAGCTTCCTATCTCTCGATGTTTCCATGACGCCAATATCAGACTAAATATTTTGAATGAGGTCGTTGCCAGCCTCTTGAAGTTGCTATGAAACTTGACCTTTATGGTTTGAAGAGTTAAACAGAATCTATTTTCAATTCTTATTGTTTAGGAGACAAAGCACAAAGATAAACACTCGAAAATTAGCAGAGACATTTCTGCATTCACACCACTTGATGTTAAAAATCAATATATTTAACAAAAGTACATACATTTTTCTAGGATTTCTTTCAGAAAGAATGTACAAATATTCTGTTTACCAATTCAATTCAATTCAAGTTTATTTATATAGCGCCAAATCACGACAAGAGTCGTCTCAAGGCACTTTGCACAGTAAAATGTTTCCTATATAAGGAACCCAGCAAATTGCATGGAGTCACTGACTAGTGTCAGTGACTTTACAGCAATCCTCATACTAAGCAAGCATTTAGCAACAGTGGAGAGGAAAACTCCCTTTTAACAGGAAGAAACCTCCAGAGAATCCTGGCTCAGTATAAGCATACATCTGCCACGACTCACTGGGGATCGAGAAGACAGAGACACACACACACACACACACACACACACACACACACACACACACACACACACACACACAGACACACACACACACACACACACACACACACACACACACACACACACACACACAAACACACACACACACACACACACACACACACACACACACACACACACACACACACACACACACACACACACTAAGCGATGTGTCTATGGTTACATTGTGATTTCTTAGTAAATATTCTATTTGGTGAGAGATAAACTTTATTGTATTTATCCTAGTGAATTTATAATCAAACGGGTAAACTAGTAGTAGCACATTCAATGTCAAAGAAAGTAAAGTGTTATTATCAGGAGAGGGACAATGTTTAAGTGGTTAGCAACAGCGTTCAAGCCGATGGCCCCCTCCATGAGGCCACCACAGCTCTGCAGAACATCATTGTAGCTTCTTCTGGGAGAAAAACACTTAGAGAAAAAATAAAGTTCACAGCTGAAATAGCAGGAAATAATACAGTTAAAGAGCAGATTGTAGAAGAAAGTAGTCGAGTGTGGAAAGTGGTCAGTGTACCCTCCAGCAGTTTGACTATAACTACAGAGATAACTCTGGATAACCTATTCTTTTAGATGGTAGCATGTTGGAGTCAGGGCAAGGGGGCGCCGTCTTTGCAGACTGTACACTCCACCTCCCTCTACTTCCCCACTTGTCCAGATCTGGGCTAACATCAGATTTTAACCATAGGCCCTATCAAATAAGAAATGTTTTAAGCCTAGTCTTAAAAGTAGAAAAGGTGTCTGCCTCATGGACTAAGGCTGGGAGTTGGTTCCACAAGAGAGAAGCCTGATAGATAAAAGATCTGCCTCCCATCCTATTTTTAGATATTCTGGGAACCACCAGTAAACCTGCAGTCTGAGAGTGAAGTGCTCCGTTTGGAACATATGGAACAATCAGGTCACTGATGTATGATGGAGCTTGATTGTTAAGAGCTTTATATGTGAGAAGGAGGATCTTAAAATCTATTCTGAATTTAACAGGCAGCCAATGTAGTGAAGCTAAGACAGGAGAGATATGATCTCTCTTTTTAATTCTCATCAGAACTCTAACTGCAGCTTTTTGGACAAGCTGAATACTTTTAACTACTTTATGTGGGCTTCCTGATACTAATGAATTACAGTAATCCAGTCTTATTGTAATAAATGCATGAACTAGTTTTTCAGCATCACTCCTAGAAAGGATGCATCTAATCTTAGCAATATTCAAAAGGTGGAAAAAGGAAATCCTATAAACCTGTTTAATGTGGGATTTGAATGACATGTCCTGGTCAAAGATAAGACAAGTTACTAATTGTAAAAAAGTTGATCTGGAACCCTTTTTTATATGTTAATGCTGATCTTTTATACTCTGTTGTTTCTTAATAATGTTCCTAGGGTCTAGATGAGGAGGCGATAGTCGATCATGGAAAGTCCAGCTTCACAACCCACACAAACTATGACAGAGATGACTTGGAAAGTAAGTTAAAGCTATTTAATTTCATTTTAACCTGCTGTGGATTTCGTTTGGTACAGTTAGAAGTGGCGGAATAACTTCTGCTTAAGTTTATGATGGATAAAATGCCAATTAATTGTGTCAACAAGCCCTAAAATCACCCAGCTACTGAGTGTGAGCTCTGCTGTTCTAAAGAGAGTTTTAAATCACATGATCAATGATGATGAGCATCAATACACAAACTGTAATGGTTCGAATGTTCTGTTCACATTAACTTTCAGCATGAACGTTAACTAGGGGTGGATGATATATCGGCATCAATATCGGTATCGGCCGATGTTAGTCATTTTTAACATGTCGGTATCGATTCGATTAATAAAACCGGGCCAACATTAACAACCGATATTTTTTCCATCTCGTCTCCATTTGTTTGCCTGTTTCAGAGGATGATGTGTAATTGTTTAGTCATGTGAACAGTGAATGTAATCATCTCAGAACCATACATGTGTGTGCTGTGTGTGCATAATAAAGTAAATTCAGCTTTAATAATTGAATTCTATACAAAATCTGCTGATTTTAGAAGCACTAATGTCAGTATATCGGTATCGGCAAATATCGGTTATTGGCCATCACAGTGATCTTAATATCGGTATCGGCCCCAAAATTTCATATCGGTGCATCACTAATGTAAACGTTTGGATTTGAACCCTAACTCTAACCCATAAACCAGCATCTCACTGGGTTGTGACTGTGGGCAGTTGCTTGGTAACAGAAAATAAGGAGGTTGTTACAAAGCAGTTTTATCTGCCGCATTTTGGTCAGCGTTCTTACAAATGGGCTAGGGATGGGGTTATGTCGGGTGATTCAAGGAGGTTTCTCAAATTCTTTGAAACATTTTGGAGACTCCCTCACAAAAGCTGTTTCATCCCAGTGAGATACTGGTTTTAGGGTTGTCACTTTTGCAGACAGATAGTTCACGCTGAACTAAATGTTTTCTACATTCACCTTAGTTGTTAAAAGTGTGCCTGAGTGCTCAGAGGTCTGAGCTCTTCATCCAGCTGACAAATTTTCTCTGTCCTCTTTCATCAGCGTTGTCTTAATCTCTAGTCTTTCTGTCTTCCGTCATTAATTAACTCCTATAGTCCTTATCCGATGTGTCCTCTTCGTGCTACGTCTTGGTGTTATTCCTCCAGGGCTTCTTCTCAAAATCAAAAGACTGATGACTCATCTGTGAAAAATGGGAATTGGCACAGTGTAGAGGGTGAAAATGGTGTGTATGTTTCAGAGCACACTTCCTCTGTGGCTGTTATAAAAATGAAGGGAAGTAGAGAAAACATTAAGGGATAAAATGAGTTAAATGTTGTTGTCTGGTTTCCCTCAAGATTGTCCAGAACTTTAACAAGAACTTTTCTCTTCTTAGTGTCTATTTTTGGAGTGGAGCTTTTGTTTATTATATAAACTTGCAGTTTAATAAAAAAAATCTCCTGTTTTTCATGAGAATGCAGTGATTTTGTTATTTTCTTGCCCCTATTAGAAGACACAAAATGGTGTATTTTTGCTCTTGACTTCCTGAGATTTGAAACTGCTAAACAAATATGAAGTGGACGAAAAAGGAAAAGTATTTTGTACAATCCATTTTATTTGACCTGGTTTACTTTGGAATGTAAAAAGTTCTGAACATAAAAGTGATTTTTTTTTTCATCCCCAGGCCACAGAGCAGTGTACGTCGGTGTCCACGTTCCTCTCGGACGAGAAAACAAACGAAGGCACCGCCACAGAGGACACAGACATCACAGAAAGAAGAAGGACAGAGACTCAGAGGAAGGAAAAGAAGATGGAAGAGAATCACCCAGTTATGGTTTGGCAACGTTTTTATTTATTCCACCAAGTCGACAGTAATGACCTTACTTCTTCCACATTTTACTAAAAATAGAAGAAGAAAATGTCATTTCTATAGCGCCTCTCAAGATAAAAATCATGAAGTGCTTAAACTGCTAAAAAGCACTAAAGGCCACCGCAATGAGCATCTAACAGATTGAGGTCTATGACATTTTAAGTGATTTGCGCAGGCACCTTGTGTAAGAAGTCTCTGCACCGACACTAGGGATGGGTACCTGTGACATTTGAATCGATCCGGTACTAATTCCCGGTACCTATGAATCGATACCGGTACTTAACGGTACCAATTTTCAATACTTTTGTGTGTTTAATATTTTAATTCTCTTTTATAATTAGATAAATATTTTTCTCAATTTATAACCATATTTGATAAATATCACAATAAATAACATACAACTGTTTGTATTTCAACATCGTCCTTGTAGTTTTATAAGCTGATAATTAAACTGAAGCAAACATCTTTACTGTGAACTAAATTTGCTGTGTATCTTCATTCCTTTTACCATCTTTTTTCAATTGATTTTTCCTACTGGGAAGTTAGAATTTCCGAGGAGAAAGCGAACGCACCATTACATGATAATGGTGGCAATGGAAGCTAACATATCAAGCTACGTTATCTTAAACAGTTTATTTAACTGCTGGAGCAGATTAAAACGATGATGCCTCACACTTAGATCGTTGTCGCTGGTTTCATCTTCACCCAATCACCCGTCGCATTTAGTAAAGTGAAGCCAAACTTTAGTGCGCGTTCATGTTCTTCTAGTCGGAATTTCGGAGTTCCGAGGAGAAAGCGAACGCACCATTAGTGAAACGGAAGCTAACAAATCAAGCTAACGTTATCTTACATTTTATTTACCTACCGGAGCAGATTAAGATGAGGATGTCTCACTTAGATTGTTGTCGCTGGTTTCATCATCACCCAGTTACCCATCACATTTAGTGAAGTGGACCCAAGCTTTAGCGTGCGTTCTTTCTACCATGCTGCTCTGTTTACAACTCGCTCGCAGCGACCGACGACATAACGCTCTTGCGCATGCGCAGCTGTCTAGGCAAGTTCTCGTTGTGAAGGACAGGTACCGAAACGAGGCACCGTTTGAAATGAAGTGAATCGGTGCTCGGTCGGTACTGTGGAATTCGGTACCCATCCCTAACAAGAAACTCAAAAAATACTTTAAGTTCCTTCAGTAGGTGCATATTTTCTTCTTCTTTGCTCAAAATGCAGCAATTTCTGCTCTATAATTTTATTACATTTATTGTTGCTTTTCTGCTAGCAGTCATGCATAATCTACCCAGATTTATAAGGCAGTGAAACAAGATGGCAAAGAAAATCCACATGAAATTGTTTGGATTTGTAATTTGATGTTTCTTCTTGATTTGGGTCCTTAGCTTTTTGTTCTCAGAATTACAAGTGACCTTTCACATAAGCTGGAATATGTATGAAAACAAAATCCCCTTTGGTATAATTTTTGACATAACATTGATTTTAGTTTTTCTTAGCATAAAGCAAACTTAATTTTGTGAGACAGTTTTTTAAAATAAAAAAAAGTTATGTGTTGACCATATTTTGTAGCTTTAGTAAAACTAACATTTTTTATCCACTCTGCTCTAGACACACCATCACAGAGGGTACAGTTTATCCTGGGAACAGAGGACGATGACCTCGAGCACATCCCCCATGACCTTTTTACTGAGATGGATGAGCTCTCCTTTAGAGATGGTGATGCCATTGAGTGGAGAGAAACTGCCAGGTCAGGCTAACACCGACGGGTTAATGACAGCCGGCGCATAAAGTTGGAACGTAGTGTAGGTCTGTCATAATCCTGACCCTGTACACATGTAGCTGGGTATCCCACAAAATAAATATATTTCCTAAAGTTTGGCATGTCATCTAGCCTGTCAGTCCATCTTGTAAATGTAAATAGCCACGACCTGTAAAAAGAGCTCAGTCATGGAGCAGAATGCACAGTTGTCTTTCAAGCCGTCTCCACACGCAGTTGGATAGTGCTGAAACCAGTCAGATCAATGAAGAACATGACGTATTCATTGCTATGAAAATCAGTCAATGGGCAGTCTGTCATATACCACTGAAGAAGAAGAGAAGAAGCAAGTACATCCTTTTTTGAAATAAATGACCTCCATCTTTTCATGTCCCAACAAAACACCTACGTCGAAAACATTCTAAGCTGATGCCAAAGCCATTTCAAACGAGCACAACCCAACAAACACAGAGCACTGTGATTGGCAAGACACTAAACTGTTGGGCCAATGGTAGACCTGCTAAGGCTACTATGGACTGTGGATAGACCAACCCACAAAGCAAAATCCATTGCTACTTCTACGATTTGTCTAGACTTCTAGGCTGCCTGTTATCCACACGAGAACGAAGATTAACAACACCAAACACAATTCTTTCACACTTTGACCAAAGTTGATATTTGTGAATTCTCCATTGCTTGTGAACATAATAACCAGGTTTTAGGTTTAGCAACGTCACTGCTCGCAACAAAAATGCTCTGACCCAACATGTTCAACCATTGTTTACAATCGCTTGTTCTTACAAACTCGATTACTGCTCTATGTGCAAGACCACAGGCAAAGCACGTCATTAAGGACAGTTATTGTTATTATTAATCAGTTGTTATAAACTTGACCAAGGTCGTCCTGCCATTTAAGAGAATTCTTCTCTCAGAAAAAAAGAGAATTTTTGAAATGCGATTCATTTAGTTAGCCCTGCTTCAGCCTGTGCACTCCGCAAGAGAAAACCATGTGCCTTTTGGTTGCAACAAGGTTAATGTAATTTAAAACTTTAGCTCATTCACTACCAGCCATTTCCTGGTCCGTAAAGGCCTTCGCTGCCAGCGTTTCTCACCGTTTTTACGGTTTTTTAAGAGTCACAGAACGTTGCACGCTAGGATGATGTCGACTCCAAAACAAAGCGGCGACTCACCTCTTACATCAGGAAGAATCTGCGCGTTTCGAGCGTTATCCGTTCTTTCATAATCCGTTGTTGAATTGTGATCGGCAGACGCTTTTCCGGTTCGCGCCTCACTTTTTTTTTACAGCAGCGTCCCAAAACGATCTCCTAACACATGGATTTTCTGCTTCCTGATCACGTGACGTGTGACGTACGCGGATGAAGATCGGCTTTAGAGCTGAGATGTTTGTTCTCACGGTGCGGGGGCCCGTTCCGACGCCCACACAGTAAAAAATGCAAATGACAACTTTAGTCGTCATTGGCAGTGAATGAGTTAATGGTTTGAGGGTTTATAAAACATCTTTCAAATTGTGTTATTTTGATTCAGTGTTTTAGGTTTTTTTTTTTCATCTGTGTCTTTCAGATGGTTAAAATTTGAAGAGGATGTGGAAGATGGCGGTGAGAGGTGGAGTAAACCTTACGTGGCCACATTGTCCCTGCACAGCTTGTTTGAGCTGCGTAGCTGCATACTGAACGGTACAGTCATGCTCGATATGAGGGCCAACAGCATCGAGGAAATTGCAGGCAAGCTTTACAGAACTCATTCAAATACCAAATACTTTTAGAATACCAAACTCAATCCCCATTATTTTTTATTCCTGTGTTTGTCTTTTTTTACTACTGACACAGATATGCTGATAGACAGCATGGTGGCCTCAGGCCAGCTGAAGGAGGATTTGCGCAACAAAGTGCGGGAAGCAATGCTGAAGAAACACCACCATCAGAACGAGAGAAAGCTCAGCAATCGCTTCCCTCTGGTGCGATCCATTGCTGACATAGGCAAGAAACACTCTGACCCACTCTTGCTTGAAAGAAACGGTGAGATTCTACATCGCACTCACATTTCTTGTTCCTCCATCTGTTGAAACCATTGGGGAACTGTTCTTAAAAGTCCGCTGTTCAAATCCTTCACTGCCAGCGTAGGAGATGGATGGTAAAAGTGAGTAAAATTTAGAGAGTGATGTCAGTCCCCCGTTGGTGGAGGAGAAATTTGGGTGCTAATGTGCTAACCTGTGTGGCTGGCCTGGCTTTTGGGGTTCAGATTAATGACTGTTTCTATCCCTCAAGGTGACATGTTAAGAATAATGTTTTATTTGTCATAAGTGTTGTGTTAATGTCTTCCTTTTCCCTGAATGGGCACGACACCAAACCTGCAGTCAGAGGTTTTATCAATGAATGAGGTCACATTACTCACATTGTGCCTGTGGCTCTTGTTAAGCCTGCATTCTCACATCATTTACCTGCAAATTTGAAAAGTTCCATACGTCCCATTGAAGGCTGGTGTTCACAGTGGTTGCTATGTGGAAGATGTGTGACCAAACCAATGTGCATTGTGTAGTATTCCTGAATGTTTCATTTGTGTTAGCAAACTTGTTCACGTACTGTGCACTAACATCTTGTTAACTCATCCTTGGCAGCATGCAGAGCCTCTGAACCCTTATTTAGTATCAACTGGTTTGTTAGGCCTTGAATGTAACACGTTTTGTGTTCTTGCAGACCCTCCCACATGCTTCTGATTCATTCTGAGTGCACACAGCTCATGTTTAAGCTAGCACGACACTTTCTAACTACACGTCTTCGACGCTCTTGCTGCTCATCCTTTCTCACTTTGTCTCCCTTTGGTACCATTTGTCTTTTTGCACATCTACTTCATATGTTTATCCTTTCTGTTCCATCCCTTATTCCTTATCCTACTCCTATCTCTTCCTTCTCTCCTTTTTTTGCCATTGTCTCCTCTGTTAGGAGAGGGCCTGTCTTCCTCTCGTCTCTCTCTCCACAAGCCAGGGTCGTCGTCTTCTGTGTCCAACCTTTCCCAAAGACGAGAGTCAAGGGTCTCCGTTCTGCTCAACCACCTCCTGCCCTCTTCGTCCTACAACAGTGGGCTGTCTCCTGGCCCCTCCCCTTTCAGCACCCCTCAAAATACCCCTTCATTGTTTCGCCGCTCTCAGAGCCCATCACGAACTCATTGCGCAGCCCTCGGCCCTCAAGACATCCCAGAAGTGGTTGTATCTCCCCCTGAGGATGACGACCCACCAAATTCTGCAGAGGAGGACACGGTATCACCACAGCTCAGCCGGCGAACGTCCTCGGCGCCACAGAACCTTGAGCTGCAGCCCTTAGAAGGCAAATATCTTTGTAGCCTGCCAGTGTGAGTCACAGCTTGAACAGAGAACACTAGCACTAGCATGAAAGCTATGCTTCCCTGCTAACATCCAGTCTTGCAGTCATTTCATCAGTAACCCTCAGCAAGGCTCACTCACTGAGAGACTGGATTTATCCAAACAGTTTGCTCTCTCCTGCTCCCCATTGTTTCTGTCTGTTCCACTGGCCAGTCTCTGGCTTTTACTGCCTTCTAAACTGGCTGCGCTTTCCCCAAATAAACATTTCTCTACATATTTTCTTCCACATTACTCAGCATGTTGTTTTTACTCGGCTGTCTTCCCTTTCACACTCCTTTCACTGCAGTTGCACGGCTATGTTTTTGCTCACTTTATTTTTTGTTACCATTTTATGCCAAATCTGATTACTCAAGATATTTCATATCACATTTGTTACGCTACGTAGTTTGTTTTGCTTTGTTGTGAAACAAATGCTGCTCAAGGTGAACATAAGATCTTAAAAGATTTATTACAGAAAACGTGTAATAAACAAAATAAGAATCCGCACACTTCAATCTGCGATGTAGGAGTTTATTGGTCAAGCTTTCGGTCAGAGACCTTCATCAGGAATTGATGAATACAATTCCTGATCAATCAATCAATTAATCAATCAATACTTTATTAATCCCAGAGGGAAATTAGTTTCAGTACACACAATTCAGAGATCAGACATACATGGGCAAGACACATGACAAGAATTGGTGACTGTGGTCATTCGCAACCCGAGTCGCGCTACCTTAATAGAGATAAGAGGGTTGCATGAGGAATTGATTCGGGAGGAGGGAAAGAAAAGGCACTTCACAGCTACCCTCCCACCAGGAGGGCAGCTTTGCTCTGCAAAAAAACACCTCAACAGATATGCAACAGACTTCACACAACACAACATAACATGAGACTCCAATAGGAAGGCGAGGGGGGCTGGGATCCTGTTTCCCCCAGCGAGAGCAGCCATCTAAGGCGCTCATCCACTGTAGTCACAGGTGGGAGGGAGATCTTGGGAGAAGCGCAGAGCACATTGACTCCTCCAGCTGATGACCTTTCCAGGCTGAAGTCCACCAATCCGAAGGCGGGGGGGGGGGGGGGGGGGGGGGGGGGTCGGGTTTTCACAGCATCTGTCTGCATTCCTTTGTGGGGGTTTGTAGCCGCTCAAGGCTGCTAGGGCGTCAGATTCGGATAACAAGACTTTGGGTCAGGCTGAGATAATTTTCCTCTCTGCCTTCAGTCTTTAAACTGATCATTTCCAGTCCTTCAGTGAAGCCAATTTGGGTTTTTAAACTTGTCCATACCGTCCGGTGACCCTCTCCGAGATGACATCCATTTTGTGCACTAATACCGGTATCGCAGCTAGAACATTGTCCAGCTTACGATTCACCTCGAGTAACGTCCCAGTCTGAGAAGTCTCCACACGGACGGTGCTTTTCATGGGTGCGGGTCGCCCTCCAATCGCTCCCGTCTTCCCAAATTTCCAGAAAACCAGATATCCTCCCACTCCAATCAGGAGAAATCCAGTGATCATCAGCCCGGATATCCACACGTCTTCGATGTCCTCAATGGACAGCTGGCAGAGGCATATGCTCTTCCATTCCCTCCAGGAATCCAGCATATACCCCGTCGGGTGTGTCCCTCTGTGGGCATGTGGGAGCCCCCTGCTCCGTTCTCATTGTTGAAAAAATCTTATCAATCGCGTTGAATGACCAATTTATCAAATCCATGGTTAAAAATAGGGTTTTTCAGAAGAAATGCAGAGAAGCGCTCTGTGGGCTGTCAGGACAAAGAGCCTTGGGAAAAAAAGATAAGGGAGCGAAAAGAGAAGCGTCTGTACTCCGCGAGTGCTAGGAAGAAATGGTCTCTGATGAAGGTCTCTGACCGAAAGCTTGACCAATAAATTCCTATATCGCTGATTGAAGTGTGCAGATTCTTATTTTGTTTATTCCACTTTTTGATCCAGCACCTTTCTCAGATGAGCGGTGACTCCTTCTACTTTACAGAAAACATGTAAAATTCAATAATGATGTCAAGGAAAGTTCTTGCAGCAACAACTAAAAGTTATGAGTGCTTTTTAAAAACACAAGAATGAACAGGACTCCAGAATGGTGTTTTTCACCAACAGCATAGGTGCTTTTAATTAGAAAACTCCAACACACGTCTTATAGATGAATAAATAATGAAATTATTACAAGTTTTGTTTTTATAATTGCATGTATATGTTAAAAGAGCCCTTAATATGAGGAAAGACAGCCTAACATTCTAAAGCTGGTGTTTTTGTTGGGAATGTGAACATTTGGCTCGTTTCCACTATCGGAACTTGGGTAATTCACCGGATCTTCACGGTATACGAATGTCTCCATTTGACCGCGTTCAATAGGACCACTTTCTGGACCGTTTCAGGGGCCAACCCAGTACCTGAACTGGGGTTTGTACTTGAAAAGGCCCGATAGAGTCGCTGGGCTGGCCTTGTGTTCTTGCTGATTGGTTGTAACTAAAAGGAAAATTATATCTTCAAACATAGCCAAAAAAAAAAAAAAAAAAAACTAACATTTGTACGGTTGGAGAAGTAGAACAGAAGCAAAAAAATAAGCTGCATTCATATCGCTTTAAAATACCTGTTTTAAAACTCTCAAACCCGAAAAATGTGGCAGAATCCCCCTCCGCCACAGCTTCATAATGTACGCTGTTTTGTGGTCTACAGAGCGCTGTAAAAAACTGGTTTTCTTCTTGCCATTAAATGCCACCTTTTATGCCACACAGCTGCTCTCCCCACCCCCCGCATAGATTAAATTATAGCGTACTTTGTAGGGATGTGAATTTTAGAGCAACTCTCGATTTGATTTGATTCCGATTCTAGGGGTGCCGATTTGATTCAGAATCGATTCTCGATTCTCAATTTAAATCGATTCACAATCAGTATTAACAAAGAGTGTCAGCTCCAGGATTAAATACGTTGTTGTACAAGTTAGTTAAAGCTATGGGACATTTTTATTTGACTTTAAACTGCTCATGCTCCAAAAATGCAAATTTACAATGTAAAATAAAGTGATTCTAAAACTGTAAACAGACGCAATCTTTTGACCAAAAGACAACATTTATTTTTGCTTACCTTGTAAAATATAACAAATCTGTAGTTACCTAACAGTAGCTTTGAAAGTAATATGGTCAAATACTTTTCAAGTATGTGTAGAAACAAGTTACATGAGTAATCCTGAGTACTCATTTACCAACTTAGAAAATAAACATGAGAATATCTCAAATTTCTGAGTATGGAAAACATTACATTCAAGTGCCCTCTTATCAGCAGATTCAAACATAAATCATCTCAATTTATGGGACCACAAAAGTAAATGGAGTACTGACTCTCCTAAGATCAAAAAAGCGCATCTCAAACCTGTAACATGCCAAATATTTGAGTTCTTGGAATCGATTCTGAACCTTTATAAATAAGAATCCCGATTCAGACTTGAATCGATTTTTTTCAGCACCCCTAATACTTTGACAGAATACAACTTTTATGAGTTTAATGTCTGTGGATGCCTTTTGACGCTGACCTGTGACATCACTCACCGGCGAAACAATTGCGATATGCTGACATCTTAGCAAAGTCATGAACGGGCTGATTTGGTAGGGAGAAACTGTCACGTTTAGGAGAGTAGGACCCAAATTGCAAAACCCAGGATGACACGAGGCAGGAATTGAAATAAAGAAAATCCTTTTATTGTAGGATGTGTCCAAAATAAAGAATAAATCCAAGAACAGGGAGGGAGCCAAAATCCAAGAATCCAGGGAGTCAAAAAACACCAGAGGAACGAGCAGACTGACAGGACTAATAACGCTGACAAGCAACAATGGACCGACAAGAACACAGAGACAGACAGGGCTTAAATACACTGGGAGGAGCAATCAGGGAAACAGGAAGCAGGTGTGTGGGGTGAGCTGCTGGAGGGAAGGCAGGTGACACTAATCAACTCAATTGGGAAAACAGAAACAGAGGATGGCAAATACCTTAACACAAAACTAAACAATTTCCTAAAGACAGAGGGAAGGACTCACACAAACTAGCTGGAGGAGGACATAGTACATACACACACACTGAGCTGGGGACAACGAGGCTGGAGCTGACCTGGGAGGAAACAGTAAAAGATAACATCAGACACTAGACTGACACACAAACTGACACATAGAAACTGACACAGAAAAAGGACACAAGAGGGCGCCAAAGGGCTACAACATAAGACACATAACAGGGATGCAGACAAGGACACATGAGGGCGCTAAGAGAGCACAAGGGGAGCTGGGGGAACAAAGGGACACAAGAGGGAATCTAGAGAGGGATGGAGGACACCAGGAAGCACATAAAGGAAGGGGGCTGACGCAGACCATGACAGAAACAACAGCTGTGAGGACCGAGTCGTCGTATTTTCCCTGTCATCTTACAAATTTCCTGAAACTCCTAAAGTGGATCTATAACTAATAGTTGGTGTTTAGCTGTTGGCGACGAAGGGGATGGAGTGTTTGTGTGCTGCAACGATTGGTGAAGTTCTATGCTATCAGAAGGAAGTAATGACATCACTGCTGGTATTACAGTTTCAGCGGGGTCATTTCACATAACGCCAGTCCATATGGATATAGTATTTGGCCACTTTATTAGGTACACAATCTAATATTATTTTTAATACAAAAAGATAATCAGCCAATCGCATGCCATTAGCTCTGCTTTTAGACATCTACACATGGTGAAGAGAACTTGCTGAAGTCGAAGCAGAACAGAATGGAGAAGAAAGAGGATTTACGTGATTTAGTGTTGTAATTTGTGCCTGGCAGACTGGTCTGAGTATTTCAGAAACTGCTGATCTGAGTTTTACACACAACCCTCTCTGGGATTTGGAGATAACCCCAAAACAAGAAAATGTCCAGTGGGCAGTCATATTGCAGATGAAAATGCCGTGTTGGTGTCAGTGTCAGAGGAGAATA